ATGACATCACAGAATAGATACGTCAACAATCAGCTGACGTCATAGACAATCAGATTATCGGCAGTGTACGCTGCCGGAGGACGTGTTGCTTTCGGGATGTATGACAAAAGCAGGTTTTGTTGTGACAGGAACGGAATTAGGCAGAGGTAAGTCAGAGCTATATTCTTTGATGCGAAACCGTTTTCTTTCAATATTCAAACAGACCTTCGCGTTATCCAGTGACGTGTGTTCACTGCAGACGACTGTTTAGATTTGGCGATTGTATCCTAAATTCCTCTGTCTAGTAATTTAGTATGACTAATAGACAAAGCTTATGGTGACGAGGAAAGTGTTCTTGGCAGCGTCGGCATTGTGGTAGTGAATGAATGGGCTTGGTACGAGCGTTAAATGTGTTTTTAATTGAATGTGATTGGATAACTAGTATGTTGCCTTTTCAAGGTAATGTACAGAGTTAACGTTCGGATTTGTATAGTGACTGTTGGTTGCTGTCACATAATATGACTTGAATGCGTGTGCCTAGATGAGATCGCGTAGTTGTGAAAAGGAAAGTATCACTTGTGTTGCTGTTGGTGTTCAGATGGATCCATTCCTGTGTATTGAAGTCGCAGTCAGTAAGGAAATTTAAAGCTTTCTGTTGTCATCCACCGTAACTATCATGTTGCGTGATTAACACAGGTATAATTAGTAAGTCTTTGTTTGAAATTCAATCAGCAAGTCGCAGACGTAGTTATAGCATGAGACTGCGTTTGTGCCATCAGTAACTATTTGCTTGAAGGGGTGTGTGAGTGAGTATGGTTTTACGCCGCTTTTAGCAATATTCCGGCAATATCACGGCGGGGGATACCAGAAATGGGCTTCACACATTGTACCCATGTCGGGAATTGAACCCGTCAATGGCGAGCGAACGCTTTAACCACTAGGTTTCCCGACCGCCCCTTTGCTTGAAGGAAGGTATTTGGTGTATATTATAGAATTTTCACTTCATTTACTCGGCAGGTGCAACGATGCTTCAGATTGTTTTAATAGAATTCAGTTGTACATTAAGTATGAGGGCCCTTTCCAAATACTGCCGCATGTATTACTGTAAAAACGCCAGTGGTCTACCTGAGCTTGGTTTCGTTGCTAGGATTTGATGTGTGTTCTTTGCTGTAAATGTTGTGTATTTTGTTTGCAACCTGTGCTAATTCATGACAGAGAGCATGTTATTGGGTTGATAAAGGGACCATGTCTGTCTCAGTGGCCCGTATAATCAGATGCGACGCTTGCCAAATAATTCCAGGGGTCCACAAACGGTTTGGGACACAGTGGTGATGTCGCCAAGCAGGAATCTGTGACGTCAACAATGAAGCAACGTCATTGTTTATTGTGTCCCCATAAGTAATGACATCACAGAATAGATACGTCAACAATCAGCTGACGTCATAGACAATCAGATTATCGGCAGTGTACGCTGCCGGAGGACGTGTTGCTTTCGGGATGTATGACGAAAGCAGGTTTTGTTGTGACAGGAACGGAATTAGGCAGAGGTTAGTCAGAGCTATATTCTTTGATGCGAAACCGTTTTCTTTCAATATTCAAACAGACCTTCGCGTTATCCAGTGACGTGTGTTCACTGCAGACGACTGTTTAGATTTGGCGATTGTATCCTAAATTCCTCTGTCTAGTAATTTAGTATGACTAATAGACAAAGCTTATGGTGACGAGGAAAGTGTTCTTGGCAGCGTCGGCATTGTGGTAGTGAATGAATGGGCTTGGTACGAGCGTTAAATGTGTTTTTAATTGAATGTGATTGGATAACTAGTATGTTGCCTTTTCAAGGTAATGTACAGAGTTAACGTTCGGATTTGTATAGTGACTGTTGGTTGCTGTCACATTATATGGCTTGAATGCGTGTGCCTAGATGAGATCGCGTAGTTGTGAAAAGGAAAGTATCACTTGTGTTGCTGTTGGTGTTCAGATGGATCCATTCCTGTGTATTGAAGTCGCAGTCAGTAAGGAAATTTAAAGCTTTCTGTTGTCATCCACCGTAACTATCATGTTGCGTGATTAACACAGGTATAATTAGTAAGTCTTTGTTTGAAATTCAATCAGCAAGTCGCAGACGTAGTTATAGCATGAGACTGCGTTTGTGCCATCAGTAACTATTTGCTTGAAGGGGTGTGTGAGTGAGTATGGTTTTACGCCGCTTTTAGCAATATTCCGGTAATATCACGGCGGGGGATACCAGAAATGGGCTTCACACATTGTACTCATGTCGGGAATTGAACCCGTCAATGGCGAGCGAACGCTTTAACCACTAGGTTTCCCGACCGCCCCTTTGCTTGAAGGAAGGTATTTGGTGTATATTATAGAATTTTCACTTCATTTACTCGGCAGGTGCAACGATGCTTCAGATTGTTTTAATAGAATTCAGTTGTACATTAAGTATGAGGGCCCTTTCCAAATACTGCCGCATGTATTACTGTAAAAACGCCAGTGGTCTACCTGAGCTTGGTTTCGTTGCTAGGATTTGATGTGTGTTCTTTGCTGTAAATGTTGTGTGTTTTGTTTGCAACCTGTGCTAATTCATGACAGAGAGCATGTTATTGGGTTGATAAAGGGACCATGTCTGTCTCAGTGGCCCGTATAATCAGATGCGACGCTTGCCAAATAATTCCAGGGGTCCACAAACGGTTTGGGACACAGTGGTGATGTCGCCAAGCAGGAATCTGTGACGTCAACAATGAAGCAACGTCATTGTTTATTGTGTCCCCATAAGTAATGACATCACAGAATAGATACGTCAACAATCAGCTGACGTCATAGACAATCAGATTATCGGCAGTGTACGCTGCCGGAGGACGTGTTGCTTTCGGGATGTATGACAAAAGCAGGTTTTGTTGTGACAGGAACGGAATTAGGCAGAGGTAAGTCAGAGCTATATTCTTTGATGCGAAACCGTTTTCTTTCAATATTCAAACAGACCTTCGCGTTATCCAGTGACGTGTGTTCACTGCAGACGACTGTTTAGATTTGGCGATTGTATCCTAAATTCCTCTGTCTAGTAATTTAGTATGACTAATAGACAAAGCTTATGGTGACGAGGAAAGTGTTCTTGGCAGCGTCGGCATTGTGGTAGTGAATGAATGGGCTTGGTACGAGCGTTAAATGTGTTTTTAATTGAATGTGATTGGATAACTAGTATGTTGCCTTTTCAAGGTAATGAACAGAGTTAACGTTCGGATTTGTATAGTGACTGTTGGTTGCTGTCACATAATAGGACTTGAATGCGTGTGTCTAGATGAGATCGCGTAGTTGTGAAAAGGAAAGTATCACTTGTGTTGCTGTTGGTGTTCAGATGGATCCATTCCTGTGTATTGAAGTCGCAGTCAGTAAGGAAATTTAAAGCTTTCTGTTGTCATCCACCGTAACTATCATGTTGCGTGATTAACACAGGTATAATTAGTAAGTCTTTGTTTGGAAATTCAATCAGCAAGTCGCAGACGTAGTTATAGCATGAGACTGCGTTTGTGCCATCAGTAACTATTTGCTTGAAGGGGTGTGTGAGTGAGTATGGTTTTACGCCGCTTTTAGCAATATTCCGGTAATATCACGGCGGGGGATACCAGAAATGGGCTTCACACATTGTACTCATGTCGGGAATTGAACCCGTCAATGGCGAGCGAACGCTTTAACCACTAGGTTTCCCGACCGCCCCTTTGCTTGAAGGAAGGTATTTGGTGTATATTATAGAATTTTCACTTCATTTACTCGGCAGGTGCAACGATGCTTCAGATTGTTTTAATAGAATTCAGTTGTACATTAAGTATGAGGGCCCTTTCCAAATACTGCCGCATGTATTACTGTAAAAACGCCAGTGGTCTACCTGAGCTTGGTTTCGTTGCTAGGATTTGATGTGTGTTCTTTGCTGTAAATGTTGTGTATTTTGTTTGCAACCTGTGCTAATTCATGACAGAGAGCATGTTATTGGGTTGATAAAGGGACCATGTCTGTCTCAGTGGCCCGTATAATCAGATGCGACGCTTGCCAAATAATTCCAGGGGTCCACAAACGGTTTGGGACACAGTGGTGATGTCGCCAAGCAGGAATCTGTGACGTCAACAATGAAGCAACGTCATTGTTTATTGTGTCCCCATAAGTAATGACATCACAGAATAGATACGTCAACAATCAGCTGACGTCATAGACAATCAGATTATCGGCAGTGTACGCTGCCGGAGGACGTGTTGCTTTCGGGATGTATGACAAAAGCAGGTTTTGTTGTGACAGGAACGGAATTAGGCAGAGGTAAGTCAGAGCTATATTCTTTGATGCGAAACCGTTTTCTTTCAATATTCAAACAGACCTTCGCGTTATCCAGTGACGTGTGTTCACTGCAGACGACTGTTTAGATTTGGCGATTGTATCCTAAATTCCTCTGTCTAGTAATTTAGTATGACTAATAGACAAAGCTTATGGTGACGAGGAAAGTGTTCTTGGCAGCGTCGGCATTGTGGTAGTAAATGAATGGGCTTGGTACGAGCGTTAAATGTGTTTTTAATTGAATGTGATTGGATAACTAGTATGTTGCCTTTTCAAGGTAATGTACAGAGTTAACGTTCGGATTTGTATAGTGACTGTTGGTTGCTGTCACATAATATGACTTGAATGCGTGTGCCTAGATGAGATCGCGTAGTTGTGAAAAGGAAAGTATCACTTGTGTTGCTGTTGGTGTTCAGATGGATCCATTCCTGTGTATTGAAGTCGCAGTCAGTAAGGAATTTTAAGCTTTCTGTTGTCATCCACCGTAACTATCATGTTGCGTGATTAACACAGGTATAATTAGTAAGTCTTTGTTTGAAATTCAATCAGCAAGTCGCAGACGTAGTTATAGCATGAGACTGCGTTTGTGCCATCAGTAACTATTTGCTTGAAGGGGTGTGTGAGTGAGTATGGTTTTACGCCGCTTTTAGCAATATTCCGGCAATATCACGGCGGGGGATACCAGAAATGGGCTTAAAGCTTTCTGTTGTCATCCACCGTAACTATCATGTTGCGTGATTAACACAGGTATAATTAGTAAGTCTTTGTTTGGAAATTCAATCAGCAAGTCGCAGACGTAGTTATAGCATGAGACTGCGTTTGTGCCATCAGTAACTATTTGCTTGAAGGGGTGTGTGAGTGAGTATGGTTTTACGCCGCTTTTAGCAATATTCCGGTAATATCACGGCGGGGGATACCAGAAATGGGCTTCACACATTGTACCCATGTCGGGAATTGAACCCGTCAATGGCGAGCGAACGCTTTAACCACTAGGTTTCCCGACCGCCCCTTTGCTTGAAGGAAGGTATTTGGTGTATATTATAGAATTTTCACTTCATTTACTCGGCAGGTGCAACGATGCTTCAGATTGTTTTAATAGAATTCAGTTGTACATTAAGTATGAGGGCCCTTTCCAAATACTGCCGCATGTATTACTGTAAAAACGCCAGTAGTCTACCTGAGCTTGGTTTCGTTGCTAGGATTTGATGTGTGTTCTTTGCTGTAAATGTTGTGTATTTTGTTTGCAACCTGTGCTAATTCATGACAGAGAGCATGTTATTGGGTTGATAAAGGGACCATGTCTGTCTCAGTGGCCCGTATAATCAGATGCGACGCTTGCCAAATAATTCCAGGGGTCCACAAACGGTTTGGGACACAGTGGTGATGTCGCCAAGCAGGAATCTGTGACGTCAACAATGAAGCAACGTCATTGTTTATTGTGTCCCCATAAGTAATGACATCACAGAATAGATACGTCAACAATCAGCTGACGTCATAGACAATCAGATTATCGGCAGTGTACGCTGCCGGAGGACGTGTTGCTTTCGGGATGTATGACAAAAGCAGGTTTTGTTGTGACAGGAACGGAATTAGGCAGAGGTTAGTCAGAGCTATATTCTTTGATGCGAAACCGTTTTCTTTCAATATTCAAACAGACCTTCGCGTTATCCAGTGACGTGTGTTCACTGCAGACGACTGTTTAGATTTGGCGATTGTATCCTAAATTCCTCTGTCTAGTAATTTAGTATGACTAATAGACAAAGCTTATGGTGACGAGGAAAGTGTTCTTGGCAGCGTCGGCATTGTGGTAGTGAGTGAATGGGCTTGGTACGAGCGTTAAATGTGTTTTTAATTGAATGTGATTGGATAACTAGTATGTTGCCTTTTCAAGGTAATGTACAGAGTTAACGTTCGGATTTGTATAGTGACTGTTGGTTGCTGTCACATAATAGGACTTGAATGCGTGTGCCTAGATGAGATCGCGTAGTTGTGAAAAGGAAAGTATCACTTGTGTTGCTGTTGGTGTTCAGATGGATCCATTCCTGTGTATTGAAGTCGCAGTCAGTAAGGAAATTTAAAGCTTTCTGTTGTCATCCACCGTAACTATCATGTTGCGTGATTAACACAGGTATAATTAGTAAGTCTTTGTTTGGAAATTCAATCAGCAAGTCGCAGACGTAGTTATAGCATGAGACTGCGTTTGTGCCATCAGTAACTATTTGCTTGAAGGGGTGTGTGAGTGAGTATGGTTTTACGCCGCTTTTAGCAATATTCCGGTAATATCACGGCGGGGGATACCAGAAATGGGCTTCACACATTGTACCCATGTCGGGAATTGAACCCGTCAATGGCGAGCGAACGCTTTAACCACTAGGTTTCCCGACCGCCCCTTTGCTTGAAGGAAGGTATTTGGTGTATATTATAGAATTTTCACTTCATTTACTCGGCAGGTGCAACGATGCTTCAGATTGTTTTAATAGAATTCAGTTGTACATTAAGTATGAGGGCCCTTTCCAAATACTGCCGCATGTATTACTGTAAAAACGCCAGTGGTCTACCTGAGCTTGGTTTCGTTGCTAGGATTTGATGTGTGTTCTTTGCTGTAAATGTTGTGTATTTTGTTTGCAACCTGTGCTAATTCATGACAGAGAGCATGTTATTGGGTTGATAAAGGGACCATGTCTGTCTCAGTGGCCCGTATAATCAGATGCGACGCTTGCCAAATAATTCCAGGGGTCCACAAACGGTTTGGGACACAGTGGTGATGTCGCCAAGCAGGAATCTGTGACGTCAACAATGAAGCAACGTCATTGTTTATTGTGTCCCCATAAGTAATGACATCACAGAATAGATACGTCAACAATCAGCTGACGTCATAGACAATCAGATTATCGGCAGTGTACGCTGCCGGAGGACGTGTTGCTTTCGGGATGTATGACAAAAGCAGGTTTTGTTGTGACAGGAACGGAATTAGGCAGAGGTAAGTCAGAGCTATATTCTTTGATGCGAAACCGTTTTCTTTCAATATTCAAACAGACCTTCGCGTTATCCAGTGACGTGTGTTCACTGCAGACGACTGTTTAGATTTGGCGATTGTATCCTAAATTCCTCTGTCTAGTAATTTAGTATGACTAATAGACAAAGCTTATGGTGACGAGGAAAGTGTTCTTGGCAGCGTCGGCATTGTGGTAGTAAATGAATGGGCTTGGTACGAGCGTTAAATGTGTTTTTAATTGAATGTGATTGGATAACTAGTATGTTGCCTTTTCAAGGTAATGTACAGAGTTAACGTTCGGATTTGTATAGTGACTGTTGGTTGCTGTCACATAATATGACTTGAATGCGTGTGCCTAGATGAGATCGCGTAGTTGTGAAAAGGAAAGTATCACTTGTGTTGCTGTTGGTGTTCAGATGGATCCATTCCTGTGTATTGAAGTCGCAGTCAGTAAGGAAATTTAAAGCTTTCTGTTGTCATCCACCGTAACTATCATGTTGCGTGATTAACACAGGTATAATTAGTAAGTCTTTGTTTGAAATTCAATCAGCAAGTCGCAGACGTAGTTATAGCATGAGACTGCGTTTGTGCCATCAGTAACTATTTGCTTGAAGGGGTGTGTGAGTGAGTATGGTTTTACGCCGCTTTTAGCAATATTCCGGTAATATCACGGCGGGGGATACCAGAAATGGGCTTCACACATTGTACCCATGTCGGGAATTGAACCCGTCAATGGCGAGCGAACGCTTTAACCACTAGGTTTCCCGACCGCCCCTTTGCTTGAAGGAAGGTATTTGGTGTATATTATAGAATTTTCACTTCATTTACTCGGCAGGTGCAACGATGCTTCAGATTGTTTTAATAGAATTCAGTTGTACATTAAGTATGAGGGCCCTTTCCAAATACTGCCGCATGTATTACTGTAAAAACGCCAGTGGTCTACCTGAGCTTGGTTTCGTTGCTAGGATTTGATGTGTGTTCTTTGCTGTAAATGTTGTGTATTTTGTTTGCAACCTGTGCTAATTCATGACAGAGAGCATGTTATTGGGTTGATAAAGGGAGCATGTCTGTCTCAGTGGCCCGTATAATCAGATGCGACGCTTGCCAAATAATTCCAGGGGTCCACAAACGGTTTGGGACACAGTGGTGATGTCGCCAAGCAGGAATCTGTGACGTCAACAATGAAGCAACGTCATTGTTTATTGTGTCCCCATAAGTAATGACATCACAGAATAGATACGTCAACAATCAGCTGACGTCATAGACAATCAGATTATCGGCAGTGTACGCTGCCGGAGGACGTGTTGCTTTCGGGATGTATGACAAAAGCAGGTTTTGTTGTGACAGGAACGGAATTAGGCAGAGGTAAGTCAGAGCTATATTCTTTGATGCGAAACCGTTTTCTTTCAATATTCAAACAGACCTTCGCGTTATCCAGTGACGTGTGTTCACTGCAGACGACTGTTTAGATTTGGCGATTGTATCCTAAATTCCTCTGTCTAGTAATTTAGTATGACTAATAGACAAAGCTTATGGTGACGAGGAAAGTGTTCTTGGCAGCGTCGGCATTGTGGTAGTGAATGAATGGGCTTGGTACGAGCGTTAAATGTGTTTTTAATTGAATGTGATTGGATAACTAGTATGTTGCCTTTTCAAGGTAATGTACAGAGTTAACGTTCGGATTTGTATAGTGACTGTTGGTTGCTGTCACATAATATGACTTGAATGCGTGTGCCTAGATGAGATCGCGTAGTTGTGAAAAGGAAAGTATCACTTGTGTTGCTGTTGGTGTTCAGATGGATCCATTCCTGTGTATTGAAGTCGCAGTCAGTAAGGAAATTTAAAGCTTTCTGTTGTCATCCACCGTAACTATCATGTTGCGTGATTAACACAGGTATAATTAGTAAGTCTTTGTTTGAAATTCAATCAGCAAGTCGCAGACGTAGTTATAGCATGAGACTGCGTTTGTGCCATCAGTAACTATTTGCTTGAAGGGGTGTGTGAGTGAGTATGGTTTTACGCCGCTTTTAGCAATATTCCGGTAATATCACGGCGGGGGATACCAGAAATGGGCTTCACACATTGTACCCATGTCGGGAATTGAACCCGTCAATGGCGAGCGAACGCTTTAACCACTAGGTTTCCCGACCGCCCCTTTGCTTGAAGGAAGGTATTTGGTGTATATTATAGAATTTTCACTTCATTTACTCGGCAGGTGCAACGATGCTTCAGATTGTTTTAATAGAATTCAGTTGTACATTAAGTATGAGGGCCCTTTCCAAATACTGCCGCATGTATTACTGTAAAAACGCCAGTGGTCTTCCTGAGCTTGGTTTCGTTGCTAGGATTTGATGTGTGTTCTTTGCTGTAAATGTTGTGTGTTTTGTTTGCAACCTGTGCTAATTCATGACAGAGAGCATGTTATTGGGTTGATAAAGGGAGCATGTCTGTCTCAGTGGCCCGTATAATCAGATGCGACGCTTGCCAAATAATTCCAGGGGTCCACAAACGGTTTGGGACACAGTGGTGATGTCGCCAAGCAGGAATCTGTGACGTCAACAATGAAGCAACGTCATTGTTTATTGTGTCCCCATAAGTAATGACATCACAGAATAGATACGTCAACAATCAGCTGACGTCATAGACAATCAGATTATCGGCAGTGTACGCTGCCGGAGGACGTGTTGCTTTCGGGATGTATGACAAAAGCAGGTTTTGTTGTGACAGGAACGGAATTAGGCAGAGGTAAGTCAGAGCTATATTCTTTGATGCGAAACCGTTTTCTTTCAATATTCAAACAGACCTTCGCGTTATCCAGTGACGTGTGTTCACTGCAGACGACTGTTTAGATTTGGCGATTGTATCCTAAATTCCTCTGTCTAGTAATTTAGTATGACTAATAGACAAAGCTTATGGTGACGAGGAAAGTGTTCTTGGCAGCGTCGGCATTGTGGTAGTGAATGAATGGGCTTGGTACGAGCGTTAAATGTGTTTTTAATTGAATGTGATTGGATAACTAGTATGTTGCCTTTTCAAGGTAATGTACAGAGTTAACGTTCGGATTTGTATAGTGACTGTTGGTTGCTGTCACATAATATGACTTGAATGCGTGTGCCTAGATGAGATCGCGTAGTTGTGAAAAGGAAAGTATCACTTGTGTTGCTGTTGGTGTTCAGATGGATCCATTCCTGTGTATTGAAGTCGCAGTCAGTAAGGAAATTTAAAGCTTTCTGTTGTCATCCATCGTAACTATCATGTTGCGTGATTAACACAGGTATAATTAGTAAGTCTTTGTTTGAAATTCAATCAGCAAGTCGCAGACGTAGTTATAGCATGAGACTGCGTTTGTGCCATCAGTAACTATTTGCTTGAAGGGGTGTGTGAGTGAGTATGGTTTTACGCCGCTTTTAGCAATATTCCGGCAATATCACGGCGGGGGATACCAGAAATGGGCTTCACACATTGTACCCATGTCGGGAATTGAACCCGTCAATGGCGAGCGAACGCTTTAACCACTAGGTTTCCCGACCGCCCCTTTGCTTGAAGGAAGGTATTTGGTGTATATTATAGAATTTTCACTTCATTTACTCGGCAGGTGCAACGATGCTTCAGATTGTTTTAATAGAATTCAGTTGTACATTAAGTATGAGGGCCCTTTCCAAATACTGCCGCATGTATTACTGTAAAAACGCCAGTGGTCTACCTAGCTTGGTTTCGTTGCTAGGATTTGATGTGTGTTCTTTGCTGTAAATGTTGTAACACGTCCCATTTTAATTCTGGAAACCCAAAAGTCCAGAAACTCTACGGTCTTTGCCCAGTCTCGGTTAAAGGTATTTACAAAATTAAACATGCCGTTTTCATGGGAACATACCAAGGAAGAAAAAATGAAAAAAAAATTGTTTAAAAACTCAATATTTAGACTATGTCGCCCATGGGCGAAGTTTGGCCCATGGGCCTGCCCATGGGCGAGAATATGTTCCTTTACTTAAAACTCATGTTTTTGTTTCGCAAATACATTTAATGTATTCATTCAAGTATCATGACACAAAATTAAACTCATTTTAACTTAATTCGACGATTTTATAGCGATATTGAAATATTTCGCCCATGGGCGAGAAAAAGGTTTGGCCCATGGGCGAGTATATGTTCCTTTACTTAAAACTCATGATTTTGTTTCGCAAATACATTAAATGTATTCATTGAAGTATCATGACACAAAATTAAACTCATTTTAACTTAATTCAACGATTTTATAGCGATATTGAAATATTTCGCCCATGGGCGAGAAAAAGGTTTGGCCCATGGGTAGGCCCATGGGTAGGCCCATGGGCGAGAATATGTTCCTTTACTTAAAACTCATGTTTTTGATTCGCAAATACATTTAATGTATTCATTCAAGTATCATGACAGAAAATTTAACTCATTTTAACTTAATTCAACGATTTTATAGCGATCTTGAAATATTTCGCCCATGGGCGAGAAAAAGGGTTTGGCCCATGGGCGAGTATATGTGCCTTTACTCAAAACACATGTTTTTTTTTCGCAAATACATTAAATGTATTTATTCAAGTATCATGACACAAAATTTAACTAATTTTTACTTAATTCAACTATTTTACGGCGTTATTAAAATATTTCGTCCATGTTTACGTCAGTCCCTTTCAAGCATCAACTAACTGTTTGCAAAGTATATTGTATCATGTGAATTATACTTTATATTATATCATTACATTACTATTTAAAAAGGGCATTTGGTTGGATGTTTCCTTTAGTTCTACAAATTTCACCTGTTTTACATATTGTAGCGATCTTTAATGAACCCGGCCTTACCTCTCAAAACGTTTTGACAGTTTATCATACGAATTCATGTGCGTGTTCTCCAATTCATTGGAGTTATTTTCCACAACATTAAATTTTAGTTAGTTTCTATTTCATTTCCCATTTAATGTCCCGTTGATACATCACACTGGGCAATTACGTGACACCAGGTATGAAATATACAGGTACGCGTGCGCGTATTTTAATGAAAAAAACTATTCGTCTTTTATTGCATAACGTTTGGCTGAATATCTTACATTCTAACGAAATCTCGAAATAATTATTTAATTACATGCGGTTTCGAACTGACCAGTGGGAATTATGTTTCAATGCGATTGAGGAAAACGTGAGTGAATATTGTGACACTAAAGCAACTTTTAACTGCATTGTCACTCTTGGTATGAAAATGGTAACAGTTCAGAAAAAACAACAGCCTCCTTATGATAATTCTCATTAGTACGTTGTATCTAATTACAGTTTCGGCCTTATTTACAGGTGATTCTACAATACCTGCTCTCGGTCAATTACGATCTACCACACCACGCGTGAATAAACAGTT